ACAGAAGACGAATTTCATCTGTTATGTACCAAAAAAATAGTTTTCTTGTTCTTTGTAACATTCAGTGGAAGAAAATTATCCATTCGTCTCCATCAATTATCAATTGGATTCGAATCGGTGAAAATGTATGTGATGAAAATATCCGACTCACCGAAAAATATTTATTTCTGTATATTTTCTTCGATTATGTTTCCTCAATATTTCACAGATATGAATCAATATTCTGTGGGACACTGGGACGAAATAGCGCAGGACGAAATAGCGCAGGACGAAATAGCGCGGACAAAATAGCGCAGGGACATAATAGCGCAGGGTCATAATAGCGCAGGGACATAATAGCGCAGGGACATAATAGCGCAGATACAAAATAGCGCAGAGACAAAATAGCGCAGAGACGAAATAGCGCAGAGACAAAATAGCACAGAGACGAAATAGCGCAGAGACGAAATAGCGCAGGGTTATAATATCGCAGGGACAAATTTGAGCGCGAAAACGTAATGCATCATCTATGATTACGTTAATTCGTTTGTCAGGGCATAGACTATTTCTTCAAATACTAGATGTTTCAAAAGGAGACTACCCTTACAAACGAAGTAACTTAATACTATGTATGCCGTTGGATTGTTAAAGTAGACCTATGATTAGGTTAGTTTGTTTGCTAGGGTATAGACTCATTTTGAAACACGACCTTGTATTCGAAGAATGAGTCTTTACTCTAACAAACGAACAAACCTAATCATAGATCCTGCACTCCATTTTCGCGCGCAATTTTGTTCCTGCGCTATTTCGTACCATTACTCATAGTTCATGAATTGATGAACAACACAGACACAATGAATCAAATCGACAATATATATATAAATAAATATTCAATAACAATAATAATGATTTTCAACCACAATGAAAAACCTCGACAGAGTTACAACGATAAATTATATGCTACTGAGCGCAAATGTTGTTGTAGGTTTCTAAATGAGTAATTGTTGAGCAAAACCTTGATTCTCTCTTTTGATTGTTCATATTTACTATTACCTGCACCATCATTCCTGAAACCAACTCTATATTTATTGACAAAGATTTCAGTGAAATTTTGTTCCTTCAGCAATTGGTGAGCTGATTTGTATAAAAAGGGGTTTTAACAATCCAATGAGTTTTAAAAGGACAGATGCCAAGCCTCTGAAGAATTGTTGGTGGTAGGCAAATTTCTTAATGATCTTTCGAAGAGGTTCCACATTTCAACTTTGAACCTTGGTTCAATCTCCTCTATTCTTTTCCCAACATAGTTTTTTTTCCAGTAGTCTACAATTGGTCTCAACTTTTGTTGGAAATTTTCTGTTATGATTTCCAGTGCAAATTGAACGTTTTTTATTGGTACATAAGCCAAGGAAGCCAGCATTTTGCACTGAACTCTTGTTTCTTCGGAAGACCTATAGCGTTCAGTTAATCCAAAATGTTGGATTTGGCGCCACAGATTCTGAGTAAGATGGAAGAAACATCCTACAATTTCCACTCCTGGAAATAATTCGGAAAACGCAGAAAAAGATGCCACTTCAAAGTCAACCAATATACTTTCTGGCTTTAGGTTGGGCAGGAATTCTGACAACTTTGCAAGAAGTCTTTCATGAGTATTCATTTCTTTGTTTTCCAGTAGTGCAAAAACAACCGGTATCGCCTTTTTCTCGATGAAGACATGAATGGTGAACAACTGGCTAAACAGTACCTGGGATGCAACATTGAAGGTTCCATCAGCAGCCCAGTGAGGAAACTCAAGCAATAAATTCAAGTGATTTCTTGTGCCAAGCATCAATATTCGACTTTTCTCCTTCTCTCCGTTGTGAGAGTCTCATAAAAAAAATGATTCTCCTCTCCCTGTTTTTAAGTTTTCGAGATTTTCGATTTCTGAATCAGATTTCCTCTGGCGATGCACACTTTTTCTATTCGCGTCATAGCTTGGTAATAATATTGAAGCTTCTACAGATACATTTTCATGAGAATTTTGTATGATATTTCTTGGCTTAAGGGGTGTTGCTCGAGCGAGATCCTTTATTTTACCCTTTACTAAATTCACCTGCTCCATAGCGGGATTTGGACCATGATTGTGAGGAGTTCTGATCGATTTAGTGTTTTCACTACAAACCAAGCGACCCTCACATCTAGCTGTGGTAAATCTCCATGATATGGATTTAGAATTGGCTCGGTCTTTTCTGTACCGGAAACCTTCATGGAAAAGAATGTCTCCGCCTTTTTGTGATTTTTGCATTTTGACTACTCATATCTGACAGTGACAGATAGCAATCACATGAACTCCTTGATTGAAACTGGTCAAGATGCATAAATGATTATACAACTCCACCCAGAACTATACTGGGTTACATTAAATTGCGCTATTTTGTCAATGCGCTATTTCCTCTATGTGATATTCTGTCCTGATGCGCTATTTCATCTATGCGATATTATGTCCCTGCGCTATAATGACCCTGCGCTATCTTGTCTCTGCACTATTTCGTCTCTGCGCTATTATGACCCTGATGGTACATTCCTTCAAATATCTCATCAGAGACGCCCTTCATATCTCCAGGATCGTATAATAATCGTAATGTCCCTCAGGGACATCCTTCGAATGTCCCTTAGGAATATCCGTCGGATGTTCCAATTGGTTCATGAACTGTACTCTTCCAATGCCCTAGAAATAACGTCCTATGGACTTCCCAGTCGGTTCTTTCAATATGTTGTCCCTGCGAGGACGTTAACTTACACCTCGCTGACGAATGATTGCTCATTGGCAATGAGTACTCCTCATCAATGTCCTTCACGAAAGTCCATTGGACATCCTTGGGAATCTTTTTGGGGACCTTCTACGGACCATCAACTCAACTTAATGTCCTAATCAGTTATGCAAGATCTGGTCCCAGAGGGACCCAGGAAAATTCAAATTCAAGAATGATTCGTATGTTCCCGGGACATCATATGGACATCCAATTGATAACCCTCAGCGTTGCTGATAGGTAGTCCTAGGGATGTCCTAAGGATGCCCTTTGTAGTGCTTGATGAGGAATACTGTAGGATTTAGGTATTCGATAGTTGTCCCAGGGACATCCCTCGAGGACTTCCCTAGTTGGTCCTCAAGTGAGACAATTGTGCGTCCCACAAACGTCCAATGGACGTCCACGGGACCATATTCGAACGTCCTAAGGATATCCATGGGACATAAGTGTGTTATTAGGGATACACATATACATTGAGCAGAAATGAACAGACAGACAGATTATCATACTCAAGATGATTTTACTATTCATGGCGGGAATCGTACAATTCGAAACTATGAAACGAATACCTACATCGAATGTTTCACCATAAATTGTGAGTAAAATGAATCCTGAATCACAAAAGACTAGAAAGACTATCCCCATTTTACTCACTAACACAAGTGGAAATAAAATGATGATACTTCGAATATTATGCCGAAATCATGTCGTTTGTGTTACTGATATAATGGAAATAATGTAAATTATGGAGGTACTTACTTTCTCGAGTATGACTGCACTGGATTTGTCGAAAGATTTGTATTGTCTACCGATTTAATATCGAATGAATCTCCTTGAATCCTCTCCTGGATATTTCGGGCGAGCAATAGACATTTATTCTCATAGGATTTTCTCGAAATTTGTTTTTTTTTTTCACTTGTGTGGGCATGAGTAGAGTTGGTTTTGCTATTGCCAGGAGAGTTCGTGAAGAAGTCAGTCAAACAATGATCCCTTCAATCAATTCCCAAGAGAAAAAAGTGTGATGAATTATTTTTCGCATTTTTCCAATTGAGAACTACTACAAGCAAATATTGAGCTACCGGGAGAAATCCGGACTAGTCCAGGCGAGTCTGGGAAAGTGACCATGCTAGGGTTTTGGTAATGGGCCGATGATTTTTTTATGCTGAGTAACCATCAGTTAGAAATACGATGATGACCCTGTGATGGTAAGATGTCTGGAACTACTTGAACACTAACTAACGTCTTCCTGGTAGATGTTCTGGGAACGTCTACAACGATAATAAGCTGATCATTAAGATAAGTATCATATGTGCTAGTGATAGTGCATATTCCGTTTTTTATGGTTGATTGTCAAGTTATTGTACTCCATACTCTCCCTGGTCATCCTTCATGATGGCAGGAGTATTCTCAATACATGATAATATGGATTATCTTCCATCACGATCATTTTTGTATGTGTAAGTGTCTATCTATTGTTTCGATTCCATGATTGATTGCATGTGTTTGGTATTCCATAACCTCATATAACTAAAGATCATGATAATTTTATTGGAGTGGTTCAACCTCTCGTTCGTTGCTATCAAACGTAATCTCGGGATATGTAGACCTGTCACTATTATAGAACCAAATGATAATAAGATTGAAACTACATAAATGCTTGAGCCAGAAGAATAATGCGAATTGGAAAGCTCCATATAATTATGTTATCACGTTATCAGACTATATTGATCAAGTAATGAACTCTTGCAAAAGTATTTTGATTCTCATACTCCTATGGAGGAAAATTTTCGATATCAAGAAATCATAACTGATGAAAAATTTTATATTTCGGGAGAATATCGCAACAAAGAAATCATTTTGAATGGATGCTATCCAAATAAGATGTAGATGTAGATACGACGTACCAGCCAATAAACAGTCACTCTGAGAAGTTTCATAATCTAAAAAGAGAGGGGTCAAGAAGATATCATTGTGTCATTAATGAAACTGTTTTCTTGAAGTGGGTTTTGTTGAAATATATAGAGTTACTGAAACTTTCAGATTCTGGACAAGGTTAGTTCATTGCACCAGTTTTGCACCTTATAGAGCCATTATGTTAGCGAACATTTCGTATGATTGAGGATTTCGTGAAAATCTTATCGTTTCCTAAGTTTCAACATTTTCTCATATTGTAACAAATCAATAATAACTAGTCATTGGAGTTCCATGTTCTATCAATAAAATATTCCATTCTAGATCGGCCATCACAATATTTCCTCAACGAACTGACGGAAAGCACGACTTCCGAGTATGGAACCCTCAGCTCATCAGTTACGCTGCTTACAGACAACCAGATGGCTCCGTGATAGGCGATCCCATCAACGTAGAATTCACAGAGCTCTGCATCAAATTAGGCTGGAAGGGCACAGGAGGAAAATGGGACATTCTGCCACTAGTTTTGAGTGCTAATGGGCATGATCCTGACTATTTCGATATACCGAGAGAGTATGTTTTGGAGGTTCCTCTCTCCCACCCCACGTGAGTATTCAAATATATAGAAAATATCGTCAGATAGGTATTGATCGATTTAAAATTGAGTTCCCCTTCAGCGGGTCCAAGGTTCTCTTGAAAGTGGAATAAAACACTATCCCATTCTCAACACTTCGAAATTTGGTTGAGTGAATCCATGATACACATTCACGATGTTTTCCACATCTGGTCAAGTCCAGAGGATAGATATCTCAATTGTTTTCAGTTGTACGTTGTACTGGTTTCGATGGAGTCGCCTGTTTTCAACCATATGTCACCATTTTTCATGTAGAAAAATATCAACAATAGATGCATAAAATATATGACGAATTCATGAAGGACAAGTTACCGTAGAGTCCAGTGATCACAACTCAGATGATCACGAAGCCAGAGGCTGACAGTTCGAAACGTCACCGTGCATTCAAATGACTCACCCCTTTGATCTCCTCACAAGTCGAGGTCACTCAGTAAACGGCCTTCAATACCACCAATCAACTTGCTCATGAGTAATACGAGTACGAAATAATTATTGATAGGTACACCTCTGTTCTGAGACTAACGGAAGATATTTGGCTCTCTTCAGCCCAGCCGTTAACAAATGCGAAGTCGAAATATATATAATTCATGGAAAAAGATCATCGGATATCATAAACTATCCGAGGAAAAAAATCATCTCTGAGAAGAAAGACCTCATTCGATATTTGATTGTCTCTATTCGTTCAATGAATGTCTACTTATATCAATTCTGAATTTCCATATCTCATTCATGAATGAACAGAGGAGAGCGGAGATGCGGATATCTATAACAAGAATGGAATGAGGTTTTCAACCCTTCATCAACGTGCCCATTGTTCAATCATTGACTGAAAATCCAATGCTGTTTTTTTACGGAATTACGCCGGATTGAACAAATCTGTTCATGAATGAACCTCGTACTGCAATTCGTAATTATTGGTTCACAGAATGGTGCGACTGGGATTCATGCTTCTAGGCCAGGATACGAAAACATGAACTCAGGAATAAATAGTGTTTCGAGTTGTGAAGTTGACCCTTAGGAATAACATAATAAAAGTGTCTAGCCGTGGACATTGTGCGTTAGGCAGGAGGAGGGTGGAAGGGGCTGCTTTGGAGGTTCTTCGTCATTATCTCTGAAACTAAGCATCACTGCGGAAAGATTGCTCAGTACAGGAAGGAAATGAAATATATTTTCTTCGATAATGATATGAGTTATTTTCCATAGAAGCAGTAGTTGAGGATGTACATGACTTTGAAAATACAAATGGCTGTCAATTGAAAAAAAAAATACATCTTGGTAAGTGATGCCTGTATAGTAAAAAGTTGCATCATATGAAAAGTATTCACGATTCCATATCCAGTAATGAGTTGATTTTGTTGTCAAGATCATCATCGTCGTCGCCGTCGATGCTGACGATTGGAGGGCCGTTGCTACACGAAGCGCGGCAAGTGCTGCACACAAGCGAGTAAGGTATTCCTGCTTTGCAGCATCCGCAACGGAACCCACTAATGGTTGTGCACCCACAAAATATATTGTTCAAGATGGATTCGAGCGCAACTGCGTCCGAGCTTTTAACAGATGTAAGGAAGCCATGCGACCCTCTGAGCCATCCCCAAGGAGTAGGCTCCTGCTGCTGATCTTTATATAACCACTGCTGAATCTGCAAACAATGATCAGGCCATCGTAGTTCGAAACAAGGTCATATAATCTGGCCAAGGCCCTCAATAAATGACATGAGCTGATGTAAATGAGCAGATACAGTTACAAACCAGCAAATACACTCTGAGGAATTGTTGGCGAGCAGCCCCTCTGATAGGGAGAAGTGCCGCAAAATCAGGCTCTGGCTCTGTTGAAGCTTAATCGAAGGCTTCGAAGGTATTCGATTCAGATCTAATCCTTCTGGGGCATGGTACAATGCCAAGAAAGCTGTTCTTCTGCATCAGCTACCATATATCTCGTATTGGTGAGAGATCACAAAAGACTTCGTGGACGTCTCTGACTTGTTCCTTGGCCTTTAACAACAGCTTCACAACACCTTTCTTGACTTTCAGTTTGTTACTCTCAAGAGCCAACCCCACATTTTGATGCAATAAACTGCTCAGCACTATTTGTTTTCAAATTAGGGGATTCTTGCATCTTCGATTCCCGTCTTTGACATCATGTCACTTCAAAAACTCAAATAACTTGAAAACGGTTATAGTTTTTGTATTTCGATTCCTTATATAATTTTTAAGTTATTTCTTTCACTCTATCAGGTGCTTCTGTTTTTTCACGAAAAAACAATGAAGGGAAAAAAGTTTTTTCTCAGAAAATCATGACCCACCCTCTGAGTACACCCTTCATAACTGTAGCAGAAATGAAGAAGTATATCAAAAAACTGTATTTTATTAACATTCATGTATAGAGATTTCGATTTGGTAGCTTCTACCGTTTAGAAGTTGTACGAAAAAATATTTCGATTCAATCTCCATTCGATATATCGAAAACACTGATGAGCTGATTTTCCAAAATTGCATTATATATGAATTTTATTGATATTGTTATTTAAGAAGATAAGAGTTCTCCAGAGCATGAAATATTGCTATTATCGAAAGTATTTTGCCGCATTCCAATTGATTGGAAGACATATTGTAGAGCTTTGAAATTGAAACAACAAAAGTGTGACTGACTTTGCACGAGAAAATTCAGTCTCTATTTCTGGAAGATTGGGAAATATATTCATTCGCCGAGATATCTTCATAAACTCTCGGAAAACGTTCCGACACGTGTTTCGCTAACTATGTTAGCATCTTCAGGAGAAGATTGAAACCGTTTCAATCTTCTTCTGAAGATGCTAACATGGTTAGCGAAACACGTGTCAAGGCGTTAAAAAATCGGTTTGGTTAGTGATGAAACAGTGTAGTGCAATACCATCCAGTGATATTATACAACATCATTTCCATCCTCCTACACGATCCATTTTTTCATCGGTTGAATATATTTTCCTTCATATCATAAGTTTTATCGCTACTTGGAATCATCAAACTGCTCACGAAATAATATAGGCACCCAACACCACAGAACACTCCGAGTACCCAAATGCTCAAGATCGCCTTTCCGCCCAAACGTTATGTGAGAGCGCATGTGCGAAGCTGACTTTTACAATTGTCAACGAATCAAAATACCAAAAATAAATCGATATTATTTTGAACAACCTATGCTCCTGCAGACATCAGCGAAAAGGAGGAAGACTATCATCTAATTCAAATTCTACAATATATTGTCCCAAAAGGATTCATTCATTTCAATTTCTTAGTCTCGTGTTGCTGATACTCCACCATCTCATCATTTTGTCTTCATTTCTCAACAGCTTCTCATGATCTCCAGAGCACAGATACGGCCTATTTCAGAATACTGTTTCCACATATGTGTTTCAGCACCCAAACATACGCTGAAGCTCTTAGATCCCTTCCAGAGATGATTCATTCGCCTGGAGGGTGATGGCGAACTCACTAACTCTTTGACATCATAGTAAAACCGTTGAGAGTCAGACGACCTATCACCTATTACTCTCACAGGAAATGATCTTCGGAAATCTCCGCTTCCATTCCATCACTAGCAATACGAGTCAGAGGAACTTGACAAGCCAAGTGAGCACTTCCTTTGGTTGTCAACCTCGAGATATGTCGAACAACACTTCAACAACACTCGTTCGTCAATAGATTCTCGTTTCAGTTGCATTTCTGGGGTCCTCTTCTATCACGATGATACCTTGGTATTTGTTCCAAATGATCATGAAATAGAAACTGAACTGAGAGAGGAATTTCATCGTTCTCAAGAACACGAGCTTTATCACAACTCGTTTGTCTAGAGAACGTGAAGCTCTGGAATCCATTGCCTTAGGAAGTATTCCCAAGAATTTATAATCTCCAAGAGTTCAAGGATAATTTCGATACCTACCTCCTCTCCCTATCCTTTCTCGGTACGAACGATAATCCTCGAATATTATAGAATTTTTTTTCTGTGAGCTCCAAGAGATAATCAAAAAATATGAATCGTTGAATTGAATCGAAATGGTAATAATAATTCCATATTATATAACCAAATACAAGAGTGTACACCTTTTCCAGTTGTATTTCAGCTAGCGTCAATTCAATTTCAGGAAGCGTCTGTTGTATTTCAGAATACACACTAGTAATTCGAGAAGTATCAATTCCATTCCAGAATGAATCAATTTCTGGAAGCGTCGATGATATTATTTTAGAAAAATCAATTGAATCTCAGGAAGTATCGATTGTATTTCAGAATAGTCAATTGAGTTTCAGAGAGCTTTCATTGTATCTCGAATGATATTTCCTGAAATACAATTGAAGCTGGCTGTTATACAAATAGTTGCATTGAACTGGCATCGCTAGTGTCAATAGCGGAACAGGATCGCCGTTTTATTGAGTATTCTGTGGAATTTCCCATCACCCTGGTGGCACTGGCCATGCGGTCTCACAACATCGAATGCGTGGTGGAATGTTTGGAATGTTTGACAAATAAGGGTAATCGACATGATAATTCTGTTCTTATCAAAAACTGTGTAGAAGAGATAGTAGGTAGATACGGAATGAGGAATAGGTAGGTGAAGTATATTATCCAATATCAATTGCAGAATATGTGCGGCGTCAGTGTGTTCGAAAATTGCTTTGAAGTGACTGCAGGTGCTGCACAAGATTCTGTGATTGTTTTCGAATAAACTATACCGACTGATAGAGAAGATGAGCCAACAAAAGGGAACATATGTGCATATGCATGGAAATATTCAGGAGTCAATCTGAAAGGTCTTTGTATCGAATCTTGGTATGAAAATCTCATAAAAAGTTCAAATTTTTTGGTCTTTTTCATTACATATCCTGAAAAAGGTAAGTATGAAACATTCATCATCATGGATTAAATTCTGTCTTCTCATGAATCCATAATTTCATGAAGAATGTCGCTAGGTAGCTGACAAATATGAGTTTCAATACACTTTCCATTTCCATAATATGGTGGCTCACTGCATGATTCACTCCATTCTCCATTAATATAGATGTGGGATCGCAGGGTACCACCCTGTGAAGCACCGACCCCAAGACCAACCCTCAGCAACAAGTACTCGTGTGGATACCTCCTGGGGCGAGACACACTCCTTTTACGACGGTGGTAGAGCAAAGACGATTAAGACGAACGACGGGTTCAAAGACGTTTACTTCCTTTTTAGTTTGTTATTACTCATCATTATTCAGTTCATTTGTAGTGCTCCAGTAATATATAGTCATTGATAATAATCGACATTCTTTCCTATTAACTAGTATCCCACATTTAGGTACTATCAATATTTGGATATCCAATAACACGAATGTCTAGGGAATGATTAATGATTAGTCATAGAAATTCCCACGTATCTAGCCCACTGCCCGCACGTATATACCAAAACCAGCCAAAACCATAATCCAATATGTATCATCAAATCATGGATTCAATCCAAAGATCCATAAATTGATCTTATCTGAACTTGCATGTGGTTTTTACACGGTTGTCATCACATCAACGTAATTCTTCATTCCCTGCCGTTTTATTAGTTCCTACACACTTCTCACCCTAGAAAATCACAAACAAACGCGAATAATGATTATTCTGGAATAGTGATGGCCAATTCTGAAATTCAGTTGACTATTCTGAAATACAATTAATGTTTTCTGATATACGAGTGGCTATTCTGAAATACAATTCACGCTTCCTGGAATGCAACTGAAGAAGGTGTATTAAAATAAACTCATTCAATTGTATTGAGATTGCTATAATTAATGATGCCAAATATATAATAATTGAAGTATTTCCTGGTAATGCATGAGAGATCTTAATTTGAAATAGAAAACAAATCTACCGGAAACTATACTGAAGTTGGGCATTGAGCTTCATCAAACACATAATAGTAAAATATGATTCCTACCTATTTTTGCAATAGTTGATATTCTTCAATATTTTCTTTATTAGTAGAGAATGAAGGAAGTAAAAACTTACTTAATTAATTGACTTCTTGTGTGAACTTACGAAAGTAGAAGGTCAAATAAGAAGAAACTCCAAATTATATTTTCCAATCGTATCGATTAACTGAACTATATGTTGAAGTAGGTGCTCCTAGAAATACAATATAATTTCATTCAATTCACCCCGTGAAGATTAAAGTACCACCTTTTACCAACGCTTCTGTGTAGTTCTAGTGTTCTGTACCACCACATAATGGTGAATGCGCTACTCTCTTTTGACGAAGCTGGGCCTTCCGCCAGAACTGATGTTGTATGAGCATGAGCGGTGTTGCCATGGTTACAAGAGGAAAAATATGACTATATTTTTCATTAGGGATATGCCACACTTATACTTCAATTATTTTAGCGAATAATGCAAACATGTGAAATCAACTATACACTTTATTCTATGTACCTATATATGACGATGTAATTAATGCTAACGAAATTGAGCCATTGAACATCACAATCGGCATCGAATCTCTCACATAGCTAGGAAATCTGCCTTATGAATGGAAAATACTCTCATATTATATTTATATAGATCTGTTTTATTCCTAGGTACAAATGGTTTGAAGGCCTTGAACTGAAATGGTATGCAGTGCCAGCAGTCTCTAGTATGATGTTCGACTGTGGAGGAATCCAATTCACAGCAGCACCTTTCAATGGATGGTATATGAGTACAGAAATCGGTTGTAGAGATCTTTGTGATACACAACGATTGAATATGTTAGAGGTGAGGAAATCGAATGAATAATGGTTGGGCTCAAAAAGCACCTTTTTTTAAAAATCAATACACGCAACTTGAAGGTATCAATAATATTATTAGAAGAACTGACTCAAATTTGATGAAGTAGAAAGAAAATTCATTTCTACTGTTTCCTGGCGCATTTTTTCCCTTTTTTTCGTCGATGAATTTATGAGAATTATTTCGATACATGTGTAGTAGAGGAAGATTGTTTGCATTCACTCAATAAATTGACATTGTCTGTCCTATTCACCGCCTTCTGATGCTTTTCTGTTCTGTGGAACTGTGTTTTCTCAAAAGTATTTCATCAAGACTGGGAGGTGAGTAACAAGAAATGCAACAGCTTTCTAAATGCTAAAATTTCGATATAATGTAGTACATAAGTGTACAGCAATAGCCTGCCGTCAGTCAGCCAGTTTTTTTGGCGATTAGCGTGAGGGCGGCTTCAAAGTTGTTGAAAAAGTATGTATGTCGTAAAAATTGACAACACTGAATAGTGGATAAACTGAAGAGTGATGTGAATACCGTCAGTCTTCAAGATATCGTAACGGGACATGTCAGCAGTGCGTTTAAGATGTTCTGAGTCATAAAAAACGGGGGGTGAACCACTGACCCAATTCACGTACACTACTTGCTTCAAATATTATACTCCCTCATACTTCCTCCACTTCCTTTATACTTTCCGTACTTCCTCGATACTCTCCGTACTTTCCTGGTAGGTACTTCTCATACTTTCTTGATACTTTCCGTACTTCCTCTTCACTTCCTCTTCACTTTTTATACCGCTTCATAATTTCTAACACATAAGATATCCAATTCCGATAAGTTCTCGGATGAGATGAAACTATCGCTTTGTGAAATTAATCGGTCCCAAATAACTGCATAAAACATGAACAAATAATATTCATCAGAATGAATAAAGGAGTTATACTCCACATCTACTCATTCAATCGGAAGTATGTTTGCTTCCTCATTTAAAGACACAAATTTGTCAATTTACTCTCACAGTAGAAATATCAAATCAACTCTCGTGGGAAGTGAAATGAATTGGTTTCAGCATGCATCTTTTGGCGTCCACATACCTATAAAATTTGTGCAATCTAAGTAATCAGTGTCTTCATCACTATACTATAAAACAAATAACACTAATAATATCCTATTCGAATTCTTCATAATACGAACGTTCTTCTGATCAGAATATTCAGATGGAGTTACATGATGACAGAAATGTGAAATTGACTCTCGTTCAAATGCTGTCAGTTGTCCATGGCGTACTATACTTTTGTGAAGCATACGTGTTTACAAAAAGTAATCATTTTCACTCTCGAAATAACGTCAGCCAACATCTTCTTCATGTTTTTTGCCAAGTGGGATTCATTTTCGTTGAAAAAAACTTCGTTTTTTTCATCATTCGCATCATCGACAACTTCTACACCAAATTTAACATTTTTGAATACAGTTTCACAATCAACCATACCTTTTTAATGACCTTGACGCGCTGCTGACGCGTCCCGTTACGATATTTTGAAGACCGACAGTATCCACATCATTTCAGTTTTCAAGTTATTTCATTATTCAGGAACCAATTCTCAAATTTTGAAAACCTGTTGCGACATACATAGTTGTTCACCTTCAAAGCAACTCTCGCGCTGATGGCTAACGAAACTGATGGCAGAGAATTTCTCATAACATCCACTTCCTATTCTATAGAGACGAAAGTTGAATTGTTCTAAAAATTGTTCTAAAATTGTTCTATCCGTCATTCGGTTGCCCCCTTACGAGCAACCCTCAGAAGTCTTCGAAAGACTTGTGCGAGCAAGGAATGAATAAGTGATATTGTGTGTCACTGTAAAAAATTATATGATCATGATTCAAACGGCGTGCAGAGAATGTATACTGTTTCACCCGTTGCAAACATTGATTTTATTTCGTTCACATTACCAGACTAAGACGCGACTTGGCTAGTCAACTTTACTATGAAGTTGATCTAGAAAATCTGATAACTCTTGTTTCTCTCTGGAAAATAATGCTGTCATCATCGTGTAGATGGTATTGATAACTATTATATACTTGCAGTGGCATGATACATTCTCATTCGGATTTCAGACTATCGCGTTGAACATGGGTCTAGACACAAGAACGCCTGTTACCCTCTGGAAAGACAAAGCCTTAGTAGAAGCCAACCTAGCCGTTCTCTACAGTTTTCAGCAGAAAGAAGTCACCATCGTAGACCATCATACCGCATCTGAGTCCTTCATGAAGCACCTGGAGAATGAAGTCAGGCTCCGAAATGGTTGCCCTGCTGATTGGGTGTGGATAGTGCCTCCATTGTCAGGTTCCGCTACTCCTGTGTTCCATCAGGAGATGGCATTATATTATTTGAAGCCGTCATACGAATATCAGGTATGGAGATTTGTCTCATGAAATGTAATCAAAACAACGATAATGAACGCTACATGTAATGAAAGTCTGCAATAATATTCATTGTAGCTGAATCTCACAGAGATATAATCATGAGAAATATCGAATGTTATATACAGTGTGTCCACCTTAAGGACTTACCACCCCTGTAAAATCGTTATTATCCGACCAATTTCAAGAAACTTTTTTTCGTTGGATAGGTATTTGAAATGCTCATCCAAGGAGAGAGTGATCTAATTCTTGGACTGTTATCGTGGCCAACTGCGACAAATTTCAATGACCCATATTCCAGAAAGTACTGTAATGATATTTCCCTTGGAGGCGCTTCAGAAACATCAGCAGGAAGGCAGGAGAACAACGATCATCCTGTATCACGCATCCCAGATTGCTCTCCAACCTCTCAATGATTCCTACATACACCAACATATTTCCGAACACTCAATATATGCCGCAATGACAAAGAACGTCACAGAAGATTCTGGAATGTTCTGGAAACAATCGATGGAACAATTAGAGAGAGAGGTTTGTTCTAAGAAGCTTCTACACCTTTTCCAGAAGTATTTCAGAAAGCGTCAATTCAATTTCAGAATAGTCACTTGTATTTCAGAAAGCGTCAATTGTATTTCAGAATAGTCAATTGAATTTCAGAAAGCGTCAAATGTATTTCAGATTAGTCACTTGTATTTCAGAAAGCATCAATTGTATTTCAGAATAGTCAATTCAATTTCAGAAATCATCAATTGTATTTCAGAATAGTCAATTCAATTTCAGAAAGCATCAATTGTATTTCAGAATAGTCAATTCAATTTCAGAAAGTGTCAATTGTATTTCAGAAAGTATCATTTGAATTTCAGAAAGCGTCAATTGAATTTCAGAAAGCATCAATTGTATTTCAGAAGTCAGAAATCGTTCTCTATAGACTGAAAGCCAGCGACCGCCAGACGTCATTTCAACAAGGTTGATATTTTCTATGTGTGTAATACCAAAGTAATACCTTATTTGGTGGAGGTTAGAAATCTTCAGTACCGGGTGGGCTTTCAAGAGATACCGGGTGTTGAAAGTACAAAAAAAAACTGCCAAAAACATCATTTCAACAAAAGCTGACTTTTTCATGTTCAATCGGACCCTATCATGAAAGAGAATATACAATTGCCAGACACTTTCCACTGGGTGTTCTCCTGCCAGAAATCATAAAAAACGTGAAAATTATTTTAATATAATATTTATAATTTTGTTAATGTTATTAAGAAGTCTATTTCACAGTATAATTGAAACAGCCAGTCACTTCCGATTGGACAAACATGACGCCAAGCACCACTGAACGTTAAGTGCGTTAACCGTGAGTGCGAGCGTAGGCGCATCATGCGTGTCCGCGAGTGCGACGTTCAGTGTTGTCTGGCGACATGTTTGTCCAATCGGAAGTGACTGGCTGTTTGAATGATAATGTAAAAGAAATGTCTCAATATCATATGAAAATTCAGCTTTGATGCTACGACGTGAATACCACGATATTTTTTCGATTTTTTAAGTTGTCTGGCAGGGGTAACACCCCATGGAGAGTGTCTGGCAATATTCTATTTCCAGTTAGGGTTCAATTGAACATACAGGGTGTCCGCTAAAAGGAGGTCATTCAATTAACCATATATTCCTTGAACAAAAACAATATGAGTTTCTAAATACCATTTTTCTTTTTTGCCTTTCATATTCGATATACAGGGTGTCAAAGTTGGAAATTAAAAACTGTTTTTCCTTATAAATTACTCGCGTATTTAATGAGATATGAATCTCAAAATTGGTACATTACTTCAGCACAAAGAGTTACATCCTGTGAGGAAAACAAACAGAAAATAACTGTCAAATATTCAAATTTTCAATCATTTTTGAGTATTTTTTGTCTCCTGTAAAATTTCGATAACATTATTTGTTCTTAAGATATTTCGAAAAGTACTGGTTATTTTGTGTTAGTATTTTGAATATTTGACAGTTATTTTCTGTTTTGTTTTCCTCACACGATGTTACTCTTTGTGCTGAAATAATTTACCAATTTAGAGATTATTATCTTATTAAATACGCGAGTAATTAAAAAAAAAACAGTTCTTAATTTCCAACCCTGTATATCGAATATGAAGAACTAAAATGAAAAATGGTTTTTAGGAACTCATATTGTTTTTGTTCAAGGAATATATGGTTAATGGATTGACCTCCTTTTAGCGGACACCCTGTATAAAAGAATCAGCTTGGTTGAAATGCTTTTTTGTTTGTTTGAGCACCCAGTATCTCTGGGAAGCCCTAGTACTACACACAGGGTGTTAAACAGGTAAAGGGAAATATTTCAATGGTAGATAGGGGTCACCAAGGTGGTTCTGAAAATACCATATTTGATAGGTTTTAGAGTCTTCATAACGGAGATACAGGGCGATTTATCGATTTCGAATAATTATTCATTCGTCTATATGTATCGACCTTCCCAGTATATTTTTCTAAAATTTGGTATGGAGCTTATACTTCGGACGTTGAATTCATTCACCTATAGGGCGAAGTGAAAATACAGGTTCGGCTTCAGGAAAAATTTACATTTATTCAAAATATTAAAATAACACACTGTATGTAATAATTGACAGAGTTCATCGAAGGAATCGTGAAGAGGAGGAAAAACTGAACTGGATTTGATGCTTTTTGTTTTCCCGCCACCAATTCTCATCGTATAACAATCATAAACAGAAAGCTGGAAGTATGTCAATTTGAAGAGTATTGAAATTATGAAACCAGTGTCAATTATGATTATTCGATATATTTTAGTCAAAGAATCGCTCGAAAGAACTTACTAAGTCTCACAGTTTTTATAACGGAGATACAGGGTGAACTATCGGTTTTGAATAATTATTCACTCGTCCATAAGTATAAAACTACCCAGTAACATGTTCTCAAATTTGGTATGTAGCTTACATGGGACGATGGATTCATTAACCTATCAGGCGGAATGGAAATAATACCAAATAATTATAATCGGATAATTCACCCTGTATCTCTGTTATAAAGACTATGAGACGTTTCCTGAAGCTGAACCTGTATTTCCATTTTGCCTGATAGGTCAATCAATCCATCGTCCCAAGTAAGTTCAATACCAAATTTGAGAAAATATTACTGCGATGGGTAGTTTATGGACGAGTGATAATCCATCCTGTATCTCTGTTATAAAGACTGTGAGACTTAGTAAGTTCTTTCGAACGATAATTTAACAAGAATATCTCAAATAAAGAAGGTTTCATAATTTTAATACTCTTGAAATTGACATACTTTCAGCTTCATGTTTATGATTGTTACGATGAGAATTGGTGGCGGGAAAACAAAAAGCATCAAATCCAATTCAGTCTTTCCTCTTCTTCACGATTCCTTTGATGAACTCTGTCAGTTATTACATACAGTGTGTTATTTCAATATTTCGAATAAATGTAAATTTTTCCTGAAGCCGAACCTGAATTTTCACTTCGCCCGATAGGTGAATGAATTCAACGTCCCCAGTATAAGCTCCATGCCAGATTTTAGAAAAATATACTGGGTAGTTCAATACTTGTAGACGAATGAATAATTATTCGAAATCGATAAATCGCCCTGTATCTCCGTTATGAAGACTCTAAGACCTATCAAATATGGTATTTTCAGAACCACCTTGGTGACCCCTATGTATGTACCATTGAAATATTTCCCTTTATCTGTGAAACACCCTGTATAAGTCTGGCGGTCGCTCACTACTTAGTATGTAGGAAAAATTTGTTGCTAACATAATAATAGGAGTTGACTGGTATCAAGGCTATGTAGTTCCTGTAGTTCCCATAACTACTGTTGTAGGATTTATCATTTGTCTTGATTGAGTTGACAAGGCTCAGTATAATAAGATATGACAAGTGTGACTACCACAATGAAATAATGAAGATAAATGTCATTCAGTTTCGAATTTTTGAAAACTCATTATATTTGCGATGAACTTAGCAGACAATTGCGCTATTTGTCGGGTACCTATGCTGAGACGTCCAGTCTTAAGAGTACAGCCATGTCATCATTTATTTCATGAAAGCTGCTCTAGAGAAATGGTTGATGCCCCAGATGCATTGTGTCCCTTATGCAGAACACCAGTTACGCATCACGAGGCAGTGGTCAGAAAAACATATAACAGAAATACTGTTCGAGATAGAGAACGGATTGTGGCATGTGCCAACAAAGGAGAAGACTGGGTTCAATTGGCAACAACATTGAATGTGAATTATAAAACAGCATTTCAGTGGGTTAGGTCAGGCCGCGATATAATGTTGAAGAAAGGGGGACAGAAACGCAAAGCTCTGATGGAAAATCAGATTGACAGTCTGATTGAATGGTTGGAGCAAGATTCTAGCTATTCACTCAAGCAGCTGCAGTCAAAAATATTAGCAGAATTTCAAGTTACAGTGAGTATCTCAACTATTGGTAATTACTTGGAAGGGCGGTTATTCACAGTGAAACAAGTGCACACACAACCAGCAACAATGAATTCACCAGTGAACAAAGAAATGCGTGCAGCATATGTACGTTCTTTGAATTCATATATTCAGCAGGGAAAACAAATAGTTTGGATTGACCAAACTAACTTCAATCTATTTTGCCGGCGAACAAGAGGCCGTTCCCGAGCTGGTGCAAGAGCTGTTCAAATCCTGCCATCATCAAGAGGACCAAATGTTCATTTGATAGGAGGGATATCAGCAGCAGGTATTGTGGCAATGGATCGCCGAAGAGGCTCTTTCACTGCAGATTCGGCAATTGCTTGGGTGATGAATCTCATGGTACAATGGCAGAATGGCGGTAATCAACTTGGTGACCTTGTGATAGTTTGCGACAATGCTCCATGTCACTCAAGGTTGGAAACTGCTCTGAATGGGACAACAGCTACTCTCCTGAGGCTAGCACCTTATTCACCAATGTTGAATCCAATAGAGACGATTTGGTCCAAA